AAAGTATATGTTAAAGATGTCAACCTAAGTGTTCTACCAAAAGAATTCCGTATGTAATGATACTGAAAGGATACTTATACTTTGAATGTTGTAATATTTAATGCTAATTGCATGACAGTGTCGAGAAATAGACTTGTGTTTAGCTTTTAGCCGTGTGAAACTTTAATGCGATAGAAAATAAAAAAATACATAAATTTAATAATTAAAAAAGTAAAAAAATATTAATTTTTGGCTGAGATGTAGGGGAGATCGAAGTGAATTAAAACAATGACTGATATTTTGAAACTAATAATACTTAGTTAATGATTAAGCAACAGTATAGTTTCAATACACATAAGAACGTAAAAATGTATTTCTTTCGATTATGAAACAGAACTGTTTCGATCTACAAAGCTTTGAAGAAAGGTAAACTATGATTATGTTCAGCAGAAAAAGCAGTTTACAACCGTTGTGAGATTCTTCAATATGATTAGTTTGTATATTTAGATCCAATAAGGAACTTAGGGCAGGAATATTAACGCGCTCCGTGTCGTGTGGGTCGTTGGACTGGGCTACGCGGAAAGCGCCTGCGCACAATAGAATAAATGGGTGCATTCAGTATTACAACCGCTCACTGAGCGCTGAGTAAGCTGTTGCATCTGATTGGCATATTCCGTTAGAACTAAAAATATAGACCAAACAGATACAAGAGCTCATTGAACGCTCAGTGAGTGGTTGTAGTACTAAATGCACCTATTATTAGAAACAGAAATAAATATTAAAATTTCAACCTATCAGATGCCAGTTACACTGGAATTACGGTTTCTGATAGGTTGAAATCTTAATATTTATTCCTATTCCTAATATTTTCTCCTTTGTACTCAGGTCCTTAGGGCGCGTTCACACCTTGACGGAAAAGCTGAAAGCGAAAAAGCAGTGGTCAATCAGAACTCGCGTTAGTAGTAAAGGTGCCTTTTCATACGCAGCACGCTGAGGCAGCAAAATGCTATTATTGGTTGAAAATCTTCATGAGATGAGGCACTTCTAATCAATTCTCGAAAATTTGAATCACGTGACGTTTTGCTGCCGCAGCGTGCTGCGTATGAAAAGTCAGCTTGAGCAGTACAAAAAGCCAAAATTGTCGACTATCAGCGCAAGTTCTGTTTGGTTGCTGCTTTTCCGCTTTCTGCTTTTCCGTCAAGGTGTGAATGCGCCCTTAGAAAGGTGATCCATTGCGCATAATGGCGGAAATCCCATCACATGATCTGAAATTTTGACCAATCAGAAATTGAGCTTATTTGCAGCGTAAACGAGTCATTTTTATTTCTGCATATAAACTCAATACTTGATTGGTCGACAAATCTCCCTACTACTTTCAACAGTTTCAACTCACTGCGCATCCGCATCCGTCGGAATGTCCACCATGCGTCCATGAAAAAGCATGTTGTCATTCGCGTTGTATTGCCATTGTATTATCAAGTATGGCGGCGGCCGTGGCAGTGAAGGATCTTAACACTTTTCTCAGCCAAAAGCAAAATGTTGCCGATAAGGAGCTGGCCGCAGAGTGGGCACAGCTTGAGGAGCTGTACAGTAAACGGTAATACGATAATACAATATTTCATGCAAAATGATTTCACAGGATAATGAATTGTAATGATAAACCTCGGTGACTTGCAGGCTTTGGCATCAGTTAACGTTGAAACTGGAGACGTTTGTGAAACATCCGGTGCTCCAGCAAGAGGATAATCTCGTGCAACTCTACGTCAACTTCTTGTCAACCTTTGAAAACAAGTGAGCACTATCGACTATAGCTCCGTTCCATTGTACATACACATAAGGCATATTCTTTTTGGCTGAACTTTTGCATCAGTTCATTCTTCTTCCTCTTCTTTCCTCGTGGAGAGAAAAGGAAGAAAGATGAACTGGTGTAAATATTCAGCCAAAATAAACAGGCCTATAATGTGCATGAAGTATCATTTTATCCTTGTTGTTCGCAATGTTGAACTTCATGTGCGTGATACATGCAACAGAATGCAGTCTGTATTTAGAAAATATTAAGATCTTATATGATACACAATATACGTTTTCAGTCTCTATTTATATTAATTTACGTATTACTCTTTGTTAATCTTATTTTATTAAACAACAATAAAATATTAATAAACGCGCAATGAAAGCATTAATACAGCGTGGCAATTGAAGCGCAATTCATATAATATATTATCAATAGTTTTATATAGAATATCAATACAAATTGTTTTGATTTCCTTCAAATTATCATCAGCAATACCATAAAATATAGATAATTTATCATCAACATCTTATAAGATTCATAGTCTGCAGTTGTTGGAAATAATTTCTAAAATAGACAGAGGATGAGTATCTCCCTACTTTCTGATTGAGAATGTCTCTTCACTGTTTAACCAACAGACATTTTGGTAATTCTCAACCAGAAAGTAGGGAAATGCTCATCCTCTGTCTATTATAGAAATGATTTTCAACAACTGCGACCTATGAATCTTGTAAGACATTGATGGTAAATTATCTATGGCATTACTGATGATGGTTTGAAGGAAACCAAAATGTTCAATAAATTTGTATCAATACTCAATGTAAAGTTATTGATCATATATGAATTGCGCTCCAATTACTAAGCTGTATTAATGCTCTCATTGCCCATTTATTAATATTTTATTGTTTGAACTTAGGGAACACTATTAAATAAATTTTTGTTTTTATGTTATTGAGATTGTTCGTGTTTTTGAAGAACAAATCCTATTAAGATTATATGTTTTTGAAGAATAAATCCGTTGTCGTTGGTGGAGATATTGGCGCATGTAGTCCCACAATTACAAGATAATCAAGATGCGATTAAATTCTTGGAGAAGACTGAGACAAAGGTCCAAAGCAACAATGAAGCTATTGCCCTTTGTAAGGTTCTCAAGGGTCAAATTTTATTGGATAAACTCAACAATCAGGAACAAACAAAGAAGATCATAGAGGACGTAGAAGCTATGTTGGACAACGCCGATGGCATTACGACGGTTCATGGACGTTTTTACCTTCTTGCCAGTCGGTTATATAGATTACAGGGCAAACACGCAGAATATTATCGTACAGCGTTAAGGTATTTTTACATGTATTGGAGCAATTTTATCTACACATATTGAAACAATTTTGCCTCTTAAAATAAGGATTTTGAACATAGAAAAAAAATCACGCATGTATGTAAGGCACGGGTGGAATCAAACCTGGATCCATGGATTGCTAGTCCTCCCCCCCCACTTGCTTTATACCATACTTTTACAAATAACATATAAATTTATTGTAAAAGGATTGCGCCAAATTTATAAATTTTGAATAATTGATTAGAACTAATGTGATTTTTTTCATCGAATATTCTTTTTATTATTAAGGTATCTAGGTTGCATCGAATTGAGCAGCTTGAACAGACAAGAGCAAGAACAGCATGCTTTCTTTCTCGGACTTGCGGCGCTTCTGGGTGAAGGCGTTTATAATCTTGGAGAATTACTAGCACATCCAGTCTTGGAATCGTTAAAAGGCACACCGAATAACTGGCTTGTCGATTTGTTACAAGCTTTCAATGCCGGCGATATCGTTGCGTTAGAGAGATTGAAGCCGCAATGGAGCAAAGTAGCTGATCTAGCAGCACAAGAATTAAAATTGAGACAAAAGATCTCATTGCTTTGTCTCATGGAAATGACTTTCAAGCGGCAAGCTAACAATCGGTATGTATAATTCAAATATTTCAGTTATGAGCATAATAGTACTAGAGCTGCACTCACTTTGGACATCTTTCTTCAACATGTGATGAGCGATAAAGATAGAATGAAGAAACGGTGTGTGAACGCTCAAAATGAATACAGCCTGGGTTTTAAATACTCAAAAATTGAATTATTTACTTAATAATAATATAAATATATATATATGTTTCTCGTTTAGACAACTGACATTCACGGAGATTTCTCAAGAGACACGTCTACCTCTTGGTGAAGTAGAATTGTTAGTGATGAAAGCTCTTGCCCAGGGTCTTGTGCGAGGTGCCATAGATCAAGTGGCGGGCACTGTCAATATGACTTGGGTGCAGCCACGTGTCCTAGATCGCAGCCAGATTGCTGGGATGGTGCAACGTCTGGATGGATGGTGCAAAGATGTTAGTTCGATGGAAAAACTCTTGGAATCAAGGGCCTCTGAAATTCTCACTCTCTGAGAATACAGACCACTTTCGGTTTACTTGTTTGTTATGTCGGCAGAATGTTGGTTCGCATACTCGCAATTATAAAATCAGTTTCTTAACACGTCGCCAATAAATACGAACAATTATTTATTACATGTACACTTAGAATTCTTTGTGTATCTTTTCTCTTCTTTCGATTAAAAACGAAAAACAGGTTGGTATCAATTGTAATTTTTTTATATTAAGTTATAAGAAAATACAAAATAGAAACAAGAAGTAAATGTTTTATTTGGTGAAAATACATCGTTCTAATTGTCAGTGCGTTTTATGTTGGTAAATATCGGTAATGAATGCTAAATGCTGTCCTCTTTTGTATAATATTAAGTACCTGTACTTAAGTACAGTTTGAGTTATACAATTTTAAGTAAAAATAGCATATAGCAAATGTATTATTAGTCCTATTTACAACTATTTTATACATATTACATGTAACAAGTAAACAACCAAGCAATGAATTGGATTCGATATGATTGGCAACAATTTGGGATAGTCTTATAATAAATATATAAAAGCTAAAAAGTGATTAAATGTATGTCTTATGAATGTTTTCACAATTTGAGCACATGATTCTATACTTAGAAGCTTCTTCAGATTTTTTTCAACTTCAATCCCTTATTAAAAAGGAACAAATTATTTTTAAAAATTACTAATGTCTCGTCATTTATCTTTTGAATTAAAAAAATTAAGTACATTTTAGTACTTTTTTGGTTTTAATTATTAATCGTTAACGCAGTAAAAGTACTGAACGAAGATCCATACATTTAAGTACACACTTATTCTATATCACATGATTGACTTTCCATTTACTCTTGACCTGCTCTCCTTGCTCACATTGTATATTGTATACAAGCAGTGCACTTATTGCACTGGTTAGCGAGGAGCAGCGGACTACATTATTTCGTGATGTATGAAATAATGACTACTCAATTAAGAGTTATTCGCTGCTCATCAGAATTAATGCCATCAGTTAGAATCGATGGATTAAACAAAGCAAGCTACTTGTGTAGCGAAATGTTATATAAATTTGCGAGTACATCGCCCTCCTTATTCGATCTTGCTCTTTCAGTCTATATCTATAGATTTTCTCTTTAAGGTGTTATCCGAGCCTGGTAATCCAGAAATAAGCAACTTTTCTTTCAGATACATGTAATTCTTCAATCTGCAGGCAGCATAATCCTGAAACATGTAATAATGTTCATATATTTAAACAGATCCAATTGGACATAGTCGAAAAGCGAGGATGAGCTAAAACAAAAACGTACCCAATAGCCAAATGGAATCTGTGACAGTTTCGCGTTTACGACGCTCCAGAGACCCCAGAATAAGTGACTAGCTAGTGAGAATATCCTTACTTCCATCATAATACGCTCTTCCTCCAGAGATCCTTCTTTGCTCAATGTTCTTAGATAGGCTCTTATGAAGTTGAGCTGTCGAGAGAAAAAAACAGTTTGTAAAAATTGTACAAAGAAAAGACAGAGGGTTGCCCTATACTCATGTACTTTGATTTATTTAATAACTATATACGATAAGTATATAATCTTTTAATAGATTTTTATTGAATAATCTCTTAATAAAATTCATTCGTGTATTAAAAATACTCATTGAGATATACAGGGTGGGGAAAAAGTATGGAAGCAAACAATTATTTCCGAAACTATTCATTTTTCGACAAAATGTCTTAGACATAATTTTTATGGTATGAAAAGATGTATTATGTGGCATAGACGGCTTTACGTTATTTGTATGCAGCTCGTAAGGGTCATTTCAAGGTCATGCCGTCTATGCCACATAATACATCTTTTCATACCATAAAAATTATGTCTAAGACATTTTGTCGAAAAATGAATAGTTTCGGAAATAATTGTTTGCTTCCATACTTTTTCCCCACCCTGTATATGAAATTATATAGTAACTAGTTTGTTGCCAAAATAAATTTTACAACACATTAAGAACATTGTATAATAATATGAACAAATTAGACATACACAGAGCTCGAATTACTAACAAATAAAATATAAATATCAGGCATTTAAAAAAATATAAAAGGAATAATTTAGGATGCATTACATGACAATGTAAAATATAAAAACGATGTGTTTTGTCGATTATCAATATAAAAAAAAACGATTGATATGAATTATTCACGCCTATTTGTTACTGTCAGAAGATAAGTATCTCCTATTTATTTAAAGATTCCTATTCAATATTTCACGACAAATTATCGTCAGTAGCCTGAATTGTGTTTGAAAAACCGTTTGCAAACTAGGTATGAATTCAGCACATTAATTACGCATACAGAATCGTATTAATTAAAGTGCTCCAATGGAAGATAATGCACTTTTAATAGCACAGCTATCCCGAAAAGATACGTTCGAAAGGGTACGCAGGCTATGAATTGACTAGTGAGGAGAGTGTACAGGTACTCTAGAATCGTAGATGAGCGGATTGGTGCTGCCAAGATGGTGGTACCGGTGGCACCCTGGTTCCCAAAATGTAGAGCACCCACAAAGTCGGGATCCATCACAGCACAGTTTCACATTGCCGGCCGAATTTTTCTCTGTTTGCAGGCATCAGCCTTGTCTTGACGGATTGCGGTCCTGTGAAACTAATATATACACACGCAGCACACGCCAAGCCGACACCCTACCTACTGTGCCCTGGTACAGTACCGAATAGCATAATAATTGGCAACCGAAAAGTTGCTTTATCGCGTCATTACAATATCGTAAAATTTCGACTAACAATTTATTACATTACATTTTTATGATGATTTACGTAAAATAAACGCATTATTTTTAAATTTGTATTTGTATCTCTGAATTAGATGTGAACGTCAAATAAATATCACTCAAATTGTAATCATGAAAAACAAAACATGAAAAAAAAAAATTTCTTACCTATTTACAAGTATAAAATTATCGACATGAATTACTATGAGAAGTTTTCCGTTGTTTATTACAATTTCCCTTATCGATTTCATGCCTAATGTACATACTTATCTTTTATTTATGAATATATTATCAAAATGATTTAATCCGCTTACGAAAAAACTCATGATGTGATAACACTGGATGAAACATATTGAACAGATATCTTACCCGGATTACTTCATCGCCCAAGCCTTTCTTTAATTCATGCTTACCTTTTGCTCCTTCGTGGGACCAGCGGCCGGACGTTCGTGAAAGAAAGGATATTCTGGTGCTGTATAGTCGTATTGCCATTCGGCGAAATGATTGGCGATATCAAATCCTCGGTAGTTGTAGGAACAATATTCGAAGTCAATGAGTACTAACTTGGGCTTTCGCGTATTTTGGAGTAGGAGTATATTTCCCTCTTGCATGTCATTGTGGCAGAATGTAACTGGATACTTTTGCTGTGTTATAATTGTTCTGAAAATAGAAATGAGAAATTATTTCAGCTTCAATTTATGATTATGTTTCAAGTCCGACAATATTCGATCCAGTTTACATCCTATATATAACTAAAAAATATATTTGATATTTACATACTTATTAAACACCAAAATCTAACCTCCACCCTGTACTCTGCTTCTTTACTTATTTGATTTATTTATAAAGCGATCTAATGAAACTTATTGTTGGAAATTAGAAAATCTAAGTTTCCAATATGTCATTGTCTTCTTTATAAACTCCACATATCTCCTACTTACTTGAGCCAATTGATTTCGTGCTCCAAATTTATACATTTTATTGTGCTAACATTCTCCAGTTGCCGACTATCAATGTCTTCGTTATCAATGTTTTCAAGAATGTCTGTCGTAGTGTTGAACCAATTATTTATTGTGTCCCATAACCATGTGGGCTCTTTGCTAATTGGTATCTGCATCATATGTGTCTGACCCATCTTTTCTGCGATCAGTAGACTCAAGGTTGAATCCGCCAATTCCTTTGTGATCAAAGGTCGAGCTGGGATGTATTCCTCTATACGGCCACCAGGGAACACTCCGTGCAGCTTAGGACCCAATCTCCTTTCAGATAACAAGGTGAAGATGACGGATTCTGTGATGAGTCCTTCTAAGGCTCTTTCTCCATGCACCTGCCCATAAAGACGTAGCAAAACTTGACGAGGTTCTCCCCTAACCGGAACTGTTCCTTCAGGAAGTTGGACGTTGTACAGCCAATTACTTAGGCCACCACTGAAAATAATTACATGTGTTTTATCATCTAACTGTCGTTTTATCATAAAATACGTAACATTAGAATTGTTGTTTTATCATAAAATATGCAGTTAAGACTACATTTGAGAAACACATTTGCGTCAGCACTATTGCGTCGTTTCTGTCCTTATTGCGTGTCTAATGAATGATAAAGATAAAATGACACATTAGTTGATAGCGCGCTTCCAGAAAACAATCTAAATGCCTTTTCAAGCAAAACAATGAGTCACGATAATGTCAAAATGAATTGTTATTCATTAAAAAATGATTCTTAATAATCGTTTTGGAGCCATTCTGACATTATTTTGATGACTTATGTTTTACTTAGGAAGTCACCATGTCACATATATGTCTCTGTACAAAAATATTAAGATATAATATGTCACATATATATATATATATATATGACATCATCTTATATCCTTTTATATATATATATATATATATATATATA